AAAAGAGTCGCACACTTTTTGACTTTGCTCTTCCTTTCCTTCCTTACAAAATCTCGTTTGCCACCATTTTCACTATTCAGGCTGCATTGTTACTTCCAAATTCCAAACATAAACGAATATTTCATTTTATTAAGGACATTCTAGCTCAATACTGGCTCAATTATTCCCTTAATTCTTCTCTTTTTCTCTGGAATAATAAGAAGCTCTCCAGGATGATTTACTCTCCGTTAATGAAGGAGTTCTTGCTGGGATTATGAAGACTTTTATTGCAGAGTTAAGGGATTACAGATAAATGCGACACATCTTTTGAAGACCAGGAATCAAAGAAATTCTTTTTTATTAGGATAAAGTTGGGATCAATCTGGGAAACTTAGTGGCCATTATATGACAGGCCAGTAGGGCAAAGAATTCAAATGAATGCAAATTTAATAAACTAAGTAATTGGGTAATTAATTGCTTAAAAAAGTACGTTTTTATCAAGATTTAAATATCATTATGACAAGATATTAAGTGTTTTCCTTTGACCAGGTTACGATGTTACTTTCAACTCCCTCCCATTATTATTAGATTATTGACAAATACTTAAATTGCTTGGTTAAACTGTTATGCATAACGCTATTATGTAAATAGGGCGGGTTAAGTTGAAATAAGTTTTACTTACAAAACGATAATTAATGTTTTTCATTCTCCATTAGGGAAATCGGCTTTTAGAGATTAGAAGTCTTCAGTATAGTAAGCCAAAAGAAGCATTCATTTATAACAAATGGCTGGCGTTTTGATAGTTATCATTAGCCCTTTAGTTGACTTCGCGCTTCACAGAGGGGAGGAGGAACATCAAAGTGAGAAGAATTCAGGAGGGGGAATAGAAGGGTGTTTCAAAGATGTAAATGAAACAGACACAAAGGCTCAGAAAGGGTAAGATGAGTAGTGGTAGGGGTCGAAAATGACATACAGTGGGGTTGATGGTAGTTTGGAGTGAGAAGTCAACTACCGGTTAATAGACTTTTTTCCGCATGAGTATACGTTGCCCAGGGTGCACCACATGGAGGTAAGGCCAAAAGAAACAAGATTGATATGCAAGGTAGGATTTGGGTGAAACAGTTCTTCCTATGGGCCGGGAAGTTGGTTCAATTTGAGGTTAAGAGAAGATGGAGAGTGGGTCATTTTAAAGAAAAGTCCTCAACAGAACACTTAAATTATTTCTTAACAATCGTCATTAGTTCTGATTTCACCTCTAATTTTAAGTTGACAGTTTTAGGTATAACGTTAACAGAGAACGCTTAATACCCTACATCATAGGTTACCAAATCTGATCTCTAAACGATTTCCGAAAAAAACATCTGCGCCTAAGATTCAATAACAGGTTATTGGTCGTTTAAACTCTCCAGGCCCTTCTCTCCCTCTATTTTATCTCCCAATGCCTTTAAGTTATCACGTGCTATGACGATGGACTGATTAGCTAACATGGGGAAAAATTCTTTCAATTTGCAAAAATAGTTTTGATATTGTTGTTCAGCGGAGAATTGGCATCGTAATTCTTAAGGGCTCATATTCATTTTACCCTTCCAGACTTTTCATCTCAGTTAAGTATTTCCCTCTAAATATTACTATTTCAACAGCACCACCAAGTTGTTTCTGATCTCTATGTATGACAATAACAAGAATTGTGACTCAAGGCGTATATCAATTACCTCTGACTGTATCAATATTCATCGATGTCAACAGAAATTGAACACTACCGATTGGATATTCTTGGGGATGGGACTAGTAGCTAGGACATTTTATTTTCCTTCATCTTTTCTTTAATCTATAACAACTGCCTTCTTCCGATTTTCATAATGGTAACAGGATGGAAAAAGGGCTATAAAATGCTTCATAATCACCATAGCATGATCACCTAATTCGTAGCAAGGTCATAGAGGAAGCATGTTACAGATAGTGAGTTTAAACACTATAATACTACGAAGGGTAAGTTAAACAATCAAGGGATTATTGATTGGTGGCAAGATGAAAGGTCTCTGCTCCCATGGCCACACTTGCCCCCCNCCCCCCCCCCCCCCCCCCCCCCCACGCAATAAGTGGCACGACCACACCTTCGAGTCTACCTGAGTGCGCATGTGATTCCTTTGTCCAGACATGACAGCATTGTGCGCTCCATAGATTCACCCTAATTTTAATGGTTTATCGAAAGAACACATTTTCATTTCCGGAGTTCAATCGTATCAATGTTACTGCTCAAAGTTAATCTTTTTATTTATCTCGAAGCTACCGTTATGCATTATCTCTAAAAGCAATGGATATTCAGAGACTTCACCTAAATTACAATTTGTTTTCCAGATCTAGGGGTGTAATCTCGTTGATTTTAATTACTTCACGTTCACTTTCACAAAATTTCCTCTATATTCCATTGCCCCATTCAGTCTCACTTATAATACACTTCCACTGAGTTAATAGGACATGCAAATGCATTTTCTGACGATTTCTTTCGATTTATTGTCGACTTATTTTTCGAAAAATAAGCATTGCAATTTACATTCAATTTCCATTGCCAATAAAATTTCTAAGAGTTGGAACTTTAATTAAAATTAACTCAAGGATAGAAAATTAATCACTAGATGTACTTGATAGAGTAATTTATCCTTAAGGCGAAGGTCATCTGAGGTCATAGTAGATGATACATATCCCCAACCTGTTTTGAAAGGTTGAAGACGAAAAAGGAAGAAACATTTTTACCTAAAATTGTAGCTTCGTAACTTTCTTACAATATCCTGCCTCTCGTTACATCCCAGTTGCGAAAAAGTACTGTTTTTATGATTGGAAATATTAAAGAAGCTATATTCAACTAAATTTACTATTTATAAGGTCAAAAACTATAAATGGTACAAAAATAGAGCTGTTGTATGGGGGGGGGGTTATTTAGGTTTGACATGCATTCCGATTATGAGGATTTTGTCTATCAATGACTTTGCGTTTTGTTTGCGATAAATTGGAAAGGTATTTGAGAAATTACTTATTAAAATAGCAAAAACATACCAACTATACGACTGTGGTACGGAGCTTTTAAGTAAATGCTTACTCTAGGGGATGGAAAGGACGATCGAGCAGATCTCAGTCTTGAAACCAAAATTTCTCCATAGGTCCATTATTTGGTGTTATTGGGACCATTCGGTTGCAGTGAGGGGGGATTGCAGCAGATAGAGATTGAATGGAGTGAGGGTCTTCGAACACAGCATTTTCTTGATCTTGCATTTCATCCAAGTTCATATTCCTTTGACTTTCAAATAGGAGTAAACCAGAATTGACAAATTTTAAAAGATCTTACATTTGCAGTCTGGGATCAATGTTGGAATCTGGTGCAATTATAGGAAAGTCAAAGTCTGTTTCCTCAAAAATGGAGTGAAGGTGAAGAAACTGTAACTATTAAGCTCATTCTAGAAAGGTCTTCCCAACACTCTTTTTGAGTAAAGAAATAGCTTAACTGAGTCAATCAAATGTAATCCTCGAATTCTGACATATCTTCTATTAGCCAGTGTGGGGGGGGGGGGGTTTGAATAGGTAAACGGATTTCAAAGTTGTAAAAGATAACCACTGCATCTTCATCGATCCACGATTTTCGGTATAATCTGCTGTTGCATGAAATATTCTTCCGATGACAAAGTAGCAAACCTCGCAATATAAACTAGACAGAAATGTTGAACTGAATCATCAGAAAGCATGTCTCTTTTCTTCTGAACCTATTTAATTTGCTTTGAGTTATGAAAGTAAATATTGTATTTAATGTGAAGTCTGCTCTAGACTGTAAGTTCAATTCTACATACCTTCATGAAATGTTAAGGAATTTAAATGCGCTCCATTGCAGAATTCTGAACTGTTTAATGCGAAAGCACCTACAATCGCAAATTGCATCTGTTTTGTTTAGGTGCACTTGTCTTCGAAGATAAAAGGCACCTTCCATTAAAAAAGGGGGTTAATTACTACCTGCCACACCCAAGAAGTGTATTGAAGTGTAATGCATTATTAAAAAATCAATTTATTTTATGGAAAAATAAAGGTTTGTTTTTTATATTATTTTTCTTCACCTGGGTAAAGTATGACTGCCAGAAAATGGTGGATATATACACTTCTATTCATTATAATAATTCATTTTACAATAGAGCAATAATTTGAAATTCGCAATTTCGAAAAGAAGAGGGGAAGACACAAAGAGATATTCGGCGAATTCAATAACTTTGATTGTAGAAGAAAATTTATAAGTTAAATTAGTTTGAGAATTGTATTCCCAATTGTGCTCACCTCTTCTTTTGATAAGTTTGTAGCGGATTGTTACACTAATAAGCCTTGACCATACTCAGAACTCTCTATGGCAGATTCTCCTATGTTTGGAAGGACTCCCGGAACTAACTAAACTATCAAAAAGCTAACGAGGAAACAGACACGCCACACGAAACACGCTTGTTTTGGATGTGTGTTAGTGGGTGTGCGTATAGACAAGGAGCTTAGTCATTACAATAACGTGGCTGGTTTGATAAAGCAAGCGAGGACTATTGATTGGCAGTTGGCTGAGTTCACCACGCTCACGACCTTAATTACTCTCTATGCGAAGTTTCACGGCCGCACCTTCCAGATTGCCCGAGTGCCTGAGAGCCCATGAGATTACTTGGTTCAGGGGTGATATCGCTATGTGCTCCACAAGTTTAACATTAAAAACTAACCATTTCTTGTCAAAATCGTATTTTTACTCTAGGGAAAAATAAATAACCGAACAGCACAAATTCACTTTATTTTTCATCGGATAAAGATTCTTTATTTTTTCCTCAACAAAACAGTAATACCAAAATAAGTGGCAGAGTTTTCTTGCAACTCCGGTAATAACGCAAATTACATTAATTCGGCTATTTACCGTTTCTAAATAACAGGGAATTTTTAAAATGTCATGTAATATTGGAAATATATTTAAGGGAAGGATAGAGTATGCAGAACGGAAACAATCAATAGATCAGTTATACCTCTTTTTCATTTGCATGGCTTAATTTGCCAAACGCTTTCGATAAAAAACCTTGGATGGAAGCACCAATTGATGTACTTTCGTTATTATTCGCTTCTTCATTATCTTTTATCTCCTCGGATTGTTCGGCCATTTCGTCAACGTCATTCTCTTCCTTTACCTCCCCCACGGCTTCCTCGTCTTTTACAACTTCAGGTTCATCTGTTTTCTCAGGACTCTCCTCCTTCTCTTTTTCTCCCATTTCATCATCCCCTCCATCTTTCCCACTTTCATTCTGTTCCTCTGCCAATCCTTCGAGTTCATCGTCAGAAGCCTCTGGTTCCTCATCTATCAGCGCCTTTTCATCCTCGGCTTCCAGTTCTTCCTTATTTTCTTTTTCCTCGTCTAACGCAGAATCGGAATGTTCAATGTCCTCCAGTTGTTCAAAATTGTTTATCTCTTCCTCCTCATTGGCGAAATCGCTACTTCCAGGGTGATCACTTATTTTAAAGTTGTTCGGGTCGTTAACATTTTGGGATGCGATTTCCTCCTCAATCATTGCATTAGGCTCTTCATTGGTTGGTATTTCTGGGCCTTCGATCTTCTCTCCAGTCTGTTCAGTTGGCTCCATTAAAGATTTTGTTTGGTTCAAACAAATCTAATTTTTTTTCAACAACTAGCATCTTTTATAATTGATTGATCATGAGATAAAAGTAGAGTGCAGTTTTGAGTCAGATGTTTGTTCACGATTATCTCCTAAAATGGCTATGACTCAAGTGACGTAAACGAAGTACGAAACAATTAATCAGGACCTAGTGCTTAAATATTAATTATCCCTAAAGTGAAGAAAAATGACGAGAGGATAGGGTGACTTTGGTCAATCCAAAAACCTGAATATATGCATACATATCAGTCGGCATTTTGATCTTGAGATGTGCCTGGAACTGCATCCATCTTAATTGTACATGTGTCGCCTCTGCTTTTCTGCTTTAAAATCCTCATTGCTTCCACATTCATCAACAAGAATAAACAAAAGGTCGAGTCACTCTGATCAATTATTTAACTACCTATATTCGTCATTCCTTTCTGCTTATTGATGTCGCAACTAAGATGTCAAGGCATGAACTATTATTGTTTTGACATTACAAAGCGAATTGTAGGCATTATTATTATTAAATGGCTAAATCGATGCAAGCAAAGTTAAAACAGAAACGAATCTTAATGCTTTGATCCATAATCCACTACTGCTCTTGGCTTAGTGTACAACTCATCGTGCTTAGTCGTGTTTTAGTGCTTTCAATTTGTAAACGAATTATTGATGTGATGCAATAAAAATTTTATTAATTTCAGAAATGGATAGAAATTTGTCAAAGTCTTCAAATGCTATTTTATGACTGATAATTTGAAACTAAGGGTTGTCTTCAACTTCATCATGTCGGAAAAGCCCCATTTATATGCATTGAAACATAAATAACTGTCAGTCACTATATCGTCTACCAAATATGACCAGCCTCTTACTACTAATTCATGTTTATTTATAAACGTAATATTTGTATTAATAAATAAGTTGTGGATTTCACCTAACTTGTTCCTTTCAGGTTTGCATCAAAATGAAATCAAAGTCAATTAAATAACTTTATGGAAATGGTTTCTGACACGGCTTTGCAAATTGTCTCAACAATTAAAGAAGGGTTTGGGTGGTGTTGGGGAAATTATAACATTATTAAGCGTATTTTCATTAAGGTCAGTTTCCCACCATCTCTTTAAACCTGGATAATCTCACATTCCGACCCAACGGATCCTAACCCGAATTACTACGATGTGACAAGTTCCCCCTCTGGTTCCCCATGTCCTACTTTTCTTGAAGAAGTGTCCTTATGCTATTTAATTGCCATATCTATATGTTTATCACTGTGCACAGTGACCTCACTAAATGTGGTTATGTAAATCTTTAATCAGTAGTCCTTACATGGCTGAGTGTTTTTAGTTGGACATATTTCAGAAACCAAACAGATTTTTACTTAATAGATATCGCCTTTCTAGTTAAATGTTTATTTCTATTTCATGACAAAGAGTAGAGTATTCAAATGATGTAATAGGAAATATACCAATGCACATTTATTCAGTTATTAACATTTTATTTTAGAGAGTGGAATCATGGTTGCTTTATTAAATCGTGCAGTTTAGGGTACTCAATATATATTACAATGAATACATTTTATCCATAGTTATTTGTTACATTTTATAGTAATAGGAAAGCTAGTCGAAATTTTACTCATTTATAATGACGCATAAAACGTTTCCTCGTCTTTTCAATGACCATCATTTTCTAAAATGTGGTTGAATTTGTAAATGTTATGTGGGTCTATCAGAAGTTTTTGGTCGTGATTAAGTCATTTCTAAAAGGAATTAGTCTCCCCCTTGAGGAAAGAGTCCCGTGGATTATTAATCTAGGTAATGGGGGGGGGGCGTTCATATATAGTGGTGAATTAATACTACTTCCCTTGACCAATTGATGCTCATAAAATTACTGTAAATTTAGGTTTGGCAGTGCCTTCAATTATGGGTGGGTTTTCGAAATTTCGTGATACTTAAATCGAGTTATTACGATATCAAATAAAAAAGGGAAAGAACAATATATATTATTTATATATTTTTTAAGTTATGAGTGAATATTTTCCCTTATTTCCACCCATAGTTATGGATTAATGTTTAGAGTTATTGGGCGTGGCTAAGATGAGGATCTTCAAAAAGTCCAATTATTTTAATTTCTCACATTTTGAATGTTATGCGAAGTGAAAAATTAAAGTCAATTGCATAAAAAAGCTCGAATCTCAAATTTAATATCTTAATTAGAAGTAATTTCACCTTTAAGCGACAAAATAATACACATTTTTAATTTAAATTTTATTACTTCCTGCTCTTCAGTCTGGTGTACTAGGGGTTTGATAAAAGATTAGTTTGCTTTACTAGAGCATGGCAAAATAACTCATTATTACATAAGTTGGTTCAAACTTTATGCATGTTAACGTATTTACATCTGGCGTAGTACGAATTGGGGCAGATTTATTCATGTCAGAACATGTATGTGATATTTGAAATAAGCTAGATGTACAAATACTCCGACATAGAACTAACATTAACCTAATACGTTTACTTGAGCAATCACCAAATACTTTTGCAAATTATACATTTACCCAATATTATTTTTAAAGTAGCGAAGCGGTCACTCAAAAACGCGCAGCAAATGAAATATTGGTTAGGAGCTGAGTTTCATGTTTTGAATGATTCTAAATGTTGCACGATATGATTGCGTCAAAATTTGCTGTAGGTAAAAGAGATTTTGGCAAATCGGGTCAAAAAAATACAGAAAATGATCTGAAAGCAGAAGATGGTCGATATAAAGTCTGTCAAATATTTTATTAATAGTTTTAAAGGCTTACTGGGCGATTCGTCAATTTAGCGAATTATATGAAGAAATTTTCGTTGATAATCTAGACGTATCATTGAGTCGTACTTCATTAGAATCTAATCTATTGCATGCATTAACCTTTTCGGCTGAAACGCCTGTAATATCTGCTTGCTGGGCTCATTTTCATTTGCCAACAACTCAAGTTGACGAATATGAGGTAAGGTTTTTGCTTTATTCATAAGTAAAATACGAAGATTTCTCCGAATTCACTTAAAAGTGGTCGCATTCAATCGGGAGTCGCTTTATTTGAAACTCAAAAATGCACTTTTGTTGAGAACACCGGGGCGTCAGTTATCTCACGACTTCCATTTAATGTTGAAGCTGCTTGGTCATTGAAATGTGGCGTACTCGTAGAACGACGTATACCAAACGTAGAACGGCGTCAACGTCAAAATCAGACCTTCACTTCTTCCTTACTCAATGATACCTCTGCGGAACCCCATGCCCTTTTTACCATTTTCCTCATGTCCCATCCTCTTGATGAATTGTCCCCAGTTTTGATTAAAACCCCAGGTGGGTGTACCTTTTACGGATATTACCGATTTCTCTAGGTGCTAAAGATTCATCATGTTTCAAGTTATGTTTTGCAAACGACGAAAACCAGAAAATTGTTGGTGTCGTTTCAGAGCTAGGTCTTGTCGTGACTATTAATAAGGCCTCGGGTTTACATTCACTTTGGTATCTTGGTAAAGCCCGCGTTGAGGTAAAATTCAAGAGTTAAATTTTGAATGGTGAATTTTAGGATTATGCCCATCTCTACTTAATGGATGAAGAGGGACGTATTACTGTTGCTCCAGATGCCTTGGCTACTACTTATGTCGAAGCTTCTACGGTAAATCCCAAAACACCGGTTGTATCGACTCCGGTTGATGGGAAAAATTCTATCAATCAAATAACACCGAATCGATGTCGTTTTCAACACCTTTCTGTGGCCTCCTCACCGTTCCTCAGTCCATTTAGGGCTTCGCTTGAAAAATTGAAAGAATTGGCAAAGTCATCGGCTGTTAGACGTCGTGATTCCTTTCTACTTGACCTTAACGACGATGCTTCTGCTGTAAGATTTTTTCCACTTCCAAGTTTGTTTCATCTTTTTGCTGGTTAACTAGCTATTTCTGAGATATACATGACCAACTACTTTACTTAGCGCTGGTTACAAAATACTTGAATTTTAAAAAGCACTTTTTAATGCGTTTATTAATTACTAAGTTAATCAATCAGTTTATTTACTACGGTTTATCATTTACTTCATTGAAAGTGTTTTGATAAGTATCTGTCTTCATATCTACGACGCAGTAGACGTCGTAGTTCTCTTCAACAATCTCCTATTTTTTACTTGACGAATATATGTACCACCGTAAATATAAATTCGTATTTATTAGATCAATAGGATTCCCCCATTACTACTTTCGCCTTCTGAATATTCGCATAGTTAGTAAATCGGCAGGTATAAATGGCTATGCAGTGGTTTTAATGACCGGCGCCACTCTACTTTTTACCTTGTCAACTGAATATGCGTATTCCGATATTGAAGAAATCTATTTTGGAATAAAGTTCCTTTTACTATAATTATGAAGTCGACACTACTTATTTTTATGCACTATCAAAGATTTGTTCTGTTATTTGAAATATTGTTGGTCAGTTTTCATTTACAGGTAAAGTGGTCAATCTCAACAATATTTTTTTGTGTTTGTTAGTATCTTAGTGGTGAGTCGATAATACCGATTCTTTGGTGCGAAACGATTTCTTAATTATCTCTGGATTAATTCTTCTTGCATGCCATCAGACTTGAAAGTGTTTGATATTTTGTGCTTTGGCTTGGCTTCCTGTCGCTAGTCCGTGTACCCTGTTCATTGTTCAGTTGATCTGCTGGTCATACGATTTTTTGGCTGTTTTTACTCTTCCCTCAATTTTCACTTCATTTGCAAGGTTGTTACCATCAGATCGAAGTCATTTTTAACCACTGGCAAGCATTATGGAATCTTGGCTTGAATCATGAATAATTAGTTAACTTCAACCAGGTTATCTTACTTGATTTTAAGTTAAAATCAATTACATTATAAGCTTACAGTTGTAGTAGCTTAACTGTAAAGTGTGCTTTTCAACATTCAAAATGAGAAAACTTCATTTATATCAAATGGCAGGCGTTGTGAAAGTTATCAT